ATGATTGCTTGTGTTGCAATCGAAACGTCGTGAGAATTGTATTCTTTTATTTTTATTATTTTATTATTTCCCTTCTACGTGACTTTACCGAAAGAACCAAGAAGATGAATCCCGGCAGTCACGAAAGCTTTAAATCGAAATTCATCCCCATTCTGCCAGAAAAAGCCCACCGAGTTGTTGACTTATTTTACAGATGTGATCTCGCCATAAATGATAGCTCAAGAAAGTGGCCCATCATTTGGGCTTAGCAGCAACAAAATCGTCTAAATAGTCTCAATGAATGTAGCTGCGCTACGAACCTCGCAACCCGGGCTCGATTGCCGCTCACTGTCAACACCATGGACGAGTATTTGAACATTCCGGTCCTGGGCCTCCCCTAGGTCGATTCAGCCTAAGATTAGTATCTGGTGAGGGGTATGAACGTCAAAAATGGGGAACCCAAGGCGGCCGGGCATGGTGCTGGCCACTCACCACCTCATGTGCCATGCTGGCCTTCGTTGGTTCTTGCTAACAGCACTTGCCCCACTAGTCTGTGAAAGGCCTTAATACGAGAAAGGTGTCTTCGTGTGTGTCGCCAGACGTGCAATCGTTCACGGTCAGCGCGCCGTAATCAGAACCTGATGACTCGAGTTCAATTCCCAGTCGGTCTCGGCCGGCTTCGTGTGTCGCTTGTTTTTTGTAGGCCGGTTCGTACGAATTAGGACACCGCCATACATTACTTCCACTAAATGGTCCGTGCAAAACTAAAGTTACCCGCGCTTAATTGGGTAAAAGTGACAGTAGCATGGCCCTCCCGGCGAATATAATTGGCCGGGTTTTTCTCCGAATTAATTTGTACCCAGAGGAAGTGATGAAGGCCTCCCCCTTAGCCGGACTTCCCGCAAGGCAATAATTGGTTCACCCGGCAATTAGAGCTACGTACGTGCATGCGGTGTTTTTGTGAGGTTTAAGAGACTTTCATGAAAGTAACGACTCAAGTTTTCGCGTTGAGTGCCTGGTATAATTTTGTAAGTCGTGATAATAATGCCCTTACATTATCCAGGAAAGCCTGAAATCGAAAACAATTCAAAAGCATTGAACCACGCCTGAGAAAGCACCCTCTTAAAATAAGATGCAAAGCCAAAGAGTTGTAATCATAATGATGTGCTTTAGTTATCCAACGTAGCAATCTACGAGGCTCAAAAATTATATTTCAGGAGGATCTTGCATTGAGATGTTTGGCCAATTCCACGCTTGAAAGTTTGGCTTTGTGTGGTGGGAAACCGGAGGATGCCAGAGGGACAAACATAGACAAAGATCCCCCATATAGCCTTAACATACTGTCGGGCCAAGTGCAGTTGGCAAGCACCTGTGAAGGCCGGTACGGCGCACGAAGGGGTGGTGTGGCGATGCTTACACCCCGTACCAGGTACTCATTTGAGGTTGAGTCGACCTAGAGGAGGCCCAGGATCACTTCGGATCATCCTCACTAGTGTTGGCCGTGAGCGGGTATTGAACTCGGGTCACCGGGTTTGTCGCACGCTAACCCCCCTACACTACCGCTCCCCAGAGGGAAGCCACACGCGCACACGCACGCACGTATAGTGGTAATGCCCAGAGCTCATGGCACGATTAGATTCACAAATCCATTGCAGCATGCAGCCTTAGCGATGTCTGATATACCCCGGCAGTGCCTCATCCACGTACAGCCAGGCTTCAAACTTGCTCAGCCTGCAAGAGCTGATGAAATATCGGGTGCATTCTGGGTGATCTTGTCGTACGAAGCAATTTGAAGTGTTGTTTTATTTCTTTCTAAAAATGCTCAATGTGTTGGTTGCTGTTAGACTAAAATATCGAGAGCGCGTGCACCCGTACCGTGACGTTACATTTGCACTGGGTTGTTTTATTTATTCAGGTGCGTTTCGTTTAGAGAAGTCAAATACCTTGTTAGTTGTGCAATATCTCCCTTAAAGGACCCTGTACACGCTCCCTGCAACATTGATGCTTTTGTCTTTTGTTTCTGTTGTTACTGTGTTCACGCACCATACATCTCGGTGATAGAATAGCCGGGAGTTTGGCTAAATGGGATCATCCACGAGGCAAATTTTTTTGTTATCACGTAAACTCAAACTCCAGAAAAAACTCTTTGGTTCTTTCGGTAAAGTCACGTATAAAGAGAAAATAATAAATTAAATACTAGCATACGACGTTTCGATTGCAACACAAGCAATCATCATCAGGTATAAATGAAATAGAAACACAAATCTAGTATACTTAGAAATGTAATGTAATACAAAAGAGCGTCGGATAACATAACAGTCAACACCCTACGTGGTTGATTACGTTCTTCCTGAGAATGCTAAATTTGAGAGAGAGATAAAACACAGAACCAGAGACATATAGACAGACATATAAGTAGAGACAGATATCACAGAGATACATAGAGAGAGAGAGAGACATACATAGGCCTTTATACGTGACTTTACCGAAAGAACCAAAGAGTAATTCCTGCAGTCACGAAAGCTCCAAATTAATTATCTCCAGAAAAAAAAGTTCTCAAACGAAAACGGAACCTTGCACGGATCGTTCATCTCGTGCGTCTCATTTGTTCCGCCGCGCCGTGGCGCCAGGTACAAGAAGTACGTGATGCTGGACCCGCTGTCGGGCGCCGTCACCAAGACACGCACGGCTCTGCAGGACGAGGTGTACAATGGACCCGGGGAGGCGCCCATCTCCATCGCACAGCGCGAGCAGATGGAGCGCATGGTACGAGAAGGGAGTGGCGGAGAGGGTGGCGGGGGGGTGGCACGGAAACGCGCGATGGCTCTTGCCGGTTCAGCAACGCACGCTCACAAGCTCCCAAGCTCGCTTACTCGCTCACTCACTTTCATACATGCTCGCGCTCTCATTCGCACATTCGCCATGACAAGCTCATTAAATCGTTCACTCGCTCACTCGTTTGTGTGCACACACGCTCACTTGATCTCACGTTCTCGCTCGCTCGGCTCCTACGTGCACGCTGAGATGTTTGTTTTCATGTGCATGCTCGCTCGCTCGCTCACTCATGTGCAGACACGCTCACTCGAACTCACATTCGCACTCACTTGTTCGCTCACTCACCCTCACACGTGGCCCTGCATGTGTCGACTGCACAGCAGGGACAGCGGCCAACTTCCTGAGTGGCTTCGCGGTCGGGAGAATCACTGAAGGCTCGCGCCGTGGCTCAACAAGATTTGTATTTTTTCCCACAGAGATATAATGAGCTCCATGCTCCATTCCTTTACCCGCTCCGGGGACTGGCAGCGATCGACAGTGCAAGCCGTTGTGGTGTTAACATTGTCGTGAAATGTACTTTTTAAAAAATATATTGAACTTGCGAGGTTCACTTTTTTAATGGGAAGGCCGGGGAGTTGAGGTGTCGGAGCACTGAAGTGACACTGCTGAGATTTTTCTTGGAATCTGGGTTTCAATCGACCCGTGGTTAAAAACCCAGGTTCTCAGGTGGAACGGGGTTGATGGTCTCAGTCTGATAAAGCAGGTACTGCTCGCAAAAAAAGTCATTACATTTTAGCTCTGAGAATTATATTTAGTTTAAACGCCATGGGCCAAACGTTCTCTTTGTAGCAGGATGTGTGAGAAAGATCAGCGCCGCCTCGTGTGTGTATGTGTGTGTGGGTAAAGAGAAATGGTCACCCCCAATGAATTTCAAAAGTAGTTCGTGATATCTACTTACACGGGGCAATTCTCTGGCACACCGGGTAAAATTAATTTCTCCAAATTGATGCCTCGCCCTTCCGTCATGGTGTTATTGGCACAATTGTAAATAGTGTTAAAATTGTTTTACTAGTTTGACAGTAAGCAAGCTCATAAATAAGTCAGCTCATGAAAAGCTCGTAGATATATTGCTCTGAACGAGGACCATTTGCCCGAAACGTCACCTGTTACACGTTTTATTTTTATTTTAAGGCCACAGTGGTATTGAGGGATTTGTTAATTTTGTTTCTATTTTCATTCATTGTGCTTGTGCACCGCTGCCAACGTGCCATCTCAGAATTATTCGCAAATGCGCCAGTAGGAAGGCAAGCGAGTAAATAAATAAATCGCGGTCGATATTGCGATGTGGCGGACGATCTTCGTGCTCTCAGCTCACAGTGGTGACGACGGTCATTTGCATAACGAAAGCTTCAAATCTAGAATGAAACCGTCTTTGTTCGATGGCTAGCAGCCAAAACGTTGTCCCGTGAAGACCATTGCCCCCAAGATGGTGCAAACTTTGCGTGCGCGGAGCCGGCAGACGGGATGCTCTTTGAGACAAGCCAGGCACGGTCTTCTGTGCCGGTTCCTCGCTAATGTCGTTCCATTGGCTGTCGCTAGCCAACTGGGCCGTCGACAAATTACACGGCAAACCGTGTGTCTCGGATTCGGTCGAAGACGTCAAATGAGACGGTGAATAGGACCCTATTCACCGTCTCATTTGACGTCTTCAACAGCCACCCATCGCATCTTGCGCTCGCTGGCAGCAGAGTGCTGACGGAATGAGATTGCCGGCGTATTTGTAGAGAGAATCGGCGCTTGGCACGGCTTCCTTCGCGTTACGTCCTTCCATTTTCCACGGGACGCTTGAAGCGCTGTATCTTTTTTTCGCGGCTGTGCTCGGCTACAAACTTCCCGCCCTCCTGGGTTCGCCCCTTCATCATCCCAGACCTCGTCGAAGCTGCACGCCCTCCCTCCCCCCGCTGCTTACTGTGATGACGGTGATTACCGATGATGGTTCAGCTGGAGATTGTGAGAGGTGGCCGAGTGAATCACCGCTTGAGAGTGCTGAGCTAGCACCTCTTGAGATTCCTGGAATCGGTATTTTCCAGCCGCACATCTGCGATTTAACTGGATTTCTCAAGCGTCGTGGGTTTATCGTGTCAGCCCCGTCACAGGTGACTGCTCGATGAATTGCCTTCACGTAAAGTTTTGGTTTCCGCGCTGAATGTGGCTAAATCCCAACTCCCGAGGAGCAGAGGCATTTTCGTTTTGACTGTCGCGCGACAAGCGAATGCGGAGCGGGTGGGAGGGGTACCGCTGCGTAGCTACGTGATATCCGTGGGCTGTTCTCTGCTCTTGCACAAATGTCGCACTGCTGCGTAAAATATCGAAGCGGATCCTCTGTCTCCTGATCCGGCACTGATAGCACGGTCAAGATAAACATCCGGGAATGAACAAAATAATGTTTTCGAGAATTCCTCTGATCACAATAATTGCGGTGTTGATGATGGTTAGGATGGTGGTGGTGGTGGTGGTGATGTTGATGTCGATATCGATGATAAAAGTGGGAGGCACGGCTTTGGTGATAATGATGACGATATTGGTGCTGATAATGGTGGTTGTCATGATGATGATAATATTGGTGACGATAATGCTGGTGACCATGGTGATGATGATGATAATAGTGGTGACCATGGAGATGAAGATGACATTAGTGATGATAATACTGGTGACCATGGCGATACCGACGATAGAGACGATGATAGCAATGCTTCCGTTAACAACACCACACACGACCCTAACCCGCGTGGCACCTACCTCTCCTCTCCCATCGCTCAGACCTTGGAGAGCTACTTCTACGTGCCGGACCTGGGCCAGGTTCCCGAGATCGATGTCCCGTCGTACCTGCCCGACCTTCCCGGCGTGGCGGACGACCTCGCCTACACGCTGGACATGGGCCCCAGCATCGCGCCCTCCGCCATCTCGGCGGCCAGTCTCCCTGAACTGCCCAACTTTGAGCCGGGGCCCGGTACGGTTGCTCACCGAAGTCGGCACGGCTGCCACAGCCGCCACCGCCATCGTGATTCTACCCACCTCGGCGTGCACTTAGCTTATCTATTTACCGTCCGTGTACGGGAGTGTGCGTGCGTGCAACTGGACTCAAAGTAAACTATTTTTATTTTACCAGGTAAAGTCCGCTGAGCTGTATCGCTCTTTGTTTGATAGCTCAACGGAGTTTCTCATCATCACGTGGACAATTTGTAGCAGCCATAATGCCCTTGAACATGCGTTGATTTTAAATATGCAGGACCCGGAGAAGAATCTACGCGACCAATTAATAGGGAAACATGTAAACTCCTAATTATATGCGTAAGTGTTGGGATCGAACCCACGGACTCCTGTATATTAGGCGAGGTAGTAAACATCTTGTCACCGCGACTACCGCCAACAACAACAACAACAGCCGCCATGTGCCACTAAGTGGCGATGACGTCACCAGGGCACTTGTGCCAGGCCAGGTGCACTCTGAGGCCCTGTGAAATGTGGATGGCTCGTTGATAGGAGGTCACGGGACAGACCCAGGTGCCATGGGTTGACTGATTGAGATGACTGGCAGATGCACCGGCTGTGCCCCCTTCTGTGCCAACTTGTTGTATTTTAGCGACCACCACCACTACCATCACCACCATCACCACCACCACCACCTTTACCACCACCACTATTATCGTCACCCCCACCGCGGCCACCACCGCAAGATCACCATTGGACATTATGCAACAAATCACAACCCCCCCTCACCCCTCCCCCCACCTGTTGATCCCATTAGTTTGGCGATTGATCAATTTGTTACTTTTGCCATCGTGGCAAATTCAATCCCCCCCAGTGGCTGCAGGGTTCACACACCACGCGCGAGCCAGAGCCCACGCGTGCGTACGCTTCAACTCCCTCGGTTTGTTGTTTTGTTTCCTCCGTCTTCGTGTGGCGACAGGCGATGGCCTGCTGCTGCCGGTTCCCTCCGGGGCTGCACCCCCTCCGCCTCCGCCGCCTCCTCCACCTCCTCCTCCCCCGGGGCCTCCGTCCGGGATGCTCCCACCGGGCCCCTCGCCCGGAATGGCCGGCGGCGGTCTGCCGGGCCCACCGCCTCCGCCGCCCCCACCGCCGCCTCCACCGCCGCTCTCCGGCCCGGCTTCCGGCACAGACGTCCCTCAGCCGGCGCTCGGTACGACACGGGAGCGGACGAGGGAGAGAGAGGCCTGAGGGCGCCTCTACGGTCTCGCTGGCCGACTGCCGGCTAGTCACTAGATCGGTTCGGTCGCTCGACCGATACGATCGCACGGAAATCGTTTGCAAGTCCCACCCCACCCCTGTTCCCCGACGTCCCCGCGCGTGTGTGCCGCCGGACGGGAGGTGACGTCATCGGCCGCATCGGCGAGAACCGGTTGTCGACTGTACCTCCATGCACAGTCCACCTCCGATTAGCGCGGTTGACTACGTGTGGTGCGAAAGACGTTCAGCATCCATACATGTCCTCTCCGCCTCCGCCAACCGGTACTTACCAACGTGGGGAAGTACGGTTAAAAACCCCGAGGTGGCCTTCATCCAGCAGCGGATTGACCAGGGGCTGTGGATTATTATCCGTCTGTCCCGCCACCCTTCCTGACCGACCCCGAGCCCTTAGGGTTAGCGGCGCCGTTTCGTTTCCTCGGCGGCTCCTCGGTGTGCCTGCGATCGCGTTCTCTCGGAGCTAGGCAGGCGGTCAAGTCCGTCCGTCCGTCCACGGTACGGGGGCCCCTGCGTTCCGTGCCAGGAATCAGAATCAATGCTTTTTGTCCTTCGGTGTAATTACCAGCCTCTCTAAAAGCCTCTGTGGGAAACAAGGCTGGTGGGGGGGGGGGTGGTTAGGGGGGGGGGGGGGTTAGAAAAAGCCCCCGAACCTTCACACCACCAGATTACTCTCGAGATGAGGTCAATAATTCGAGCGCATGGGTGTTTGCGCTTTGAAAAACGGCACTTATTTGTTTGGCGCGCATTAGACAGCGGTTGATGTCGTTCCAGGTGCAGATAAAGGGTGGAAATTGCCCCTTAGATGCGGGCTCACATTTATCTGTGAATCGTGAGTCCCCGTCCAACCCCCCCCCCCTGTTCCTCGTTTCTCCCACCTTGCACTCCCCCCCCCCCCCCCCCCCCGTGGCTCACCTGTGGCGAGAGCATTGCGATTGGATGAGTTAAAGCTGCTTTTGAAGAAGCAAAGTTCGCTATCTCGTTGCACGCGCGCGCGTGCCCTGGGGCGCCCTGCGAACAATCGCGGGAGCGCATTCCGCGCGCCCAACTAAGTGGATTCTAATTCATCGAGTCACAAAGTTGCGGGGGTGCGGGCGGGCGGGGGGGGGGGCGCTGTTCGCTCGGTGGGGCCCTCGCAAGCGCCACGCGCAAGCGCGTCGCGAGTGCCGCCCTCTTTCTGTCGATCTCTCTCTGCGCGTGCCGCGTCCTAATAAGAAGTTTTGCCGGCGTCACGCGTCGGTGGAGGGAATTTCGATCTGTTTTACACCACCCCCCCCCCCCACGCCGCCCCCAACTCCATCAATCTGTCGCGGTCGGCTGAGCTTGGAGCTCGCGAGGCGTTTTGAGTCACGAGCGCTCCGGCTAGGAGCAGCAGCAGCAGCAGCAACAGCGTGGGATTTCCTGCAAGCCGCCCGGCGTTGCGAGATTAGGCCATCCATCTCTGCTTGTGCAAAGCCATCAATACATCTCGTCTGGCCACAGGTTAAGGATTTATTTTTAGGAGCTAATTCCTTTTGGGTTTTTTTTTTTTTAACCGATGATTACGAGTAAAAAAAATAATGTATGTTTATAAAACTATAAGCTTTTTTTATCTCACCAGATAGGGTCCAGCTGAGCGACGTGGGCACAAATGTCAGCTCAACCAAAGTGGCTTATCACGTGGAAATGTATCGCAACCAAATACTCGAAACGCACGTTGATTCTAAATGTGGAGGGAAAAAGTGCAGGGCCCGGACGAAAATCTACGCCACAACTGAGAGAGAGACATGTAAACTACAAATATACAGCAGGCGTCATCAGGGTTAGAATTAAACCCACGACCTCCCGTATACCAGGCAAGGTATTCAACATCTCGCCACCATGGTGGCCCTATAATAGTAACAATTTGCAGCCGTTTTAAAATCTACTGCTGGATGAACGTCTACCCCCAACCGGATTGATCGACCGTGCTTAACCATGCTGGTTAGGCTGGGCTGCTCAAGGGAGCAAGATAAGGGACCACTTCAAATATCACGTTGACCCTGACGGCAGCAGTGGCGCCGCGAATCGAACTCGGGTCATCGGGTTCTCAGCACGGCACTCTCAACCGCCGCGCGACCTCTTGTCGCCCGAGCGATGCTGTACCACACGTCTAAATTTACGATCGTTAATGGCAATTTTTTATTGTTGTGAAAGTGGCATCACGAGCTCTCAAGCTCCGTCGATAACTTTTATCGCGATAACGTTTTGGGTCCTCGTTTGTAACCTCACGTTTGTTCGCTTGGGTGTGGGGGGGGGGGCGGAGAGAAAACGTTCGTGTAATTTGCGCCGTTATTGACCGAAGAGCGGCAAATAAAACGATAGGTCTCGGCTCCATCTTGACCCTGGACGTCACATGACAGAGCCTGCTCTCTGTGCTCCGCCGACGTTTCATCCTATCGAGGAATCGACCGAGCCGTGCGGTGGCAAGCGATGCAGTGAGACTGCCCAGTTCCTTGCTGCTGTGTTACCCTTCCTGTTTGGTGAGAGCGCACGGGTTTCTCTCTGTCTGTCTGTCCGTTTGGTAAATATCTTTTTCTCTTCACGATTTTTATCCCGATCGTGTCGGCGAGATGATAAATCATCGAATCCGTTGCACTCCCAACGCAGTGCGACACTTTGCGTTCGAGAGCGGCCCACATAAGCGGATATAATAAGAGGTTTTTGGGTGAGACCGCGAAGATGTATAAATGTGTCGTTAAACCCGGAACCACGTGACACAGCCAATTAGTAAGGTTTGTCACTTTAAAAAAAAATTTAATTCGTCACTCGTTCAGCACACCGACGTGTTGGAGAATCAACCCACAACATTTACAATTTGAGGACCGTGACGGTTCGCCAGTAATTGCAACCAATATCATCGGGGCGGACAGCCACAGTTGTGGAGAAATCCTCCAGTTTCGGTCTTACATCGTGCTAAAATCTCACATCCCTTCATATTCCTTGTTACCCTCTGGTCAGCACGGTAGGGGGCAGCAATTCGAGTAATATTTCCATGGCAGTAAAACAAATATTTAAAATTTTCAGAACTGGAATTTAGGCCAACTTTGTTATTTACCAGCGCCACATTTGAACGTGAAGGGTATTGTTGTTGTTGCTGCTGTTGTTGTTGTTGCTGTTGTTGTTGCTGCTGTTGTTGTTGTTGTGCCAACCCTGTGAACATCAACTCCACTGCGCTGCAGGAGTCCGATTGAATCACAGGTGGCCGACACCCAGGTTCCCATCGCATCGCCCTGACCACTTAGCCACCTAGACACCTCGAGAGCACAACACATGTTAATAAACTTCCAGGGTCATGCGCGCACGTGCGTGTGTGTGTGTGTGTGCACGCGTGTGTACTTTCATGTGTGTAGCGGTTAGCGCGCTGCGCTATGAACCTGGCGACCCGGGTTCGATTCCCGCTCACGGCCAACACCCAGTGACGATTATCTCAACCGGTCCTGTGCCTCCCCTAGGTCGACTCGGCCTCAAATAAGTACGTTTCCCCCGTTTGTTTGCATTGGGTTTGCGGTTCGAATCCGGCAGGGAACCCCGCCCTCGGTAAAATCGGTGCGGTCGTAATCGTGAGGTGCGGTGCCATCTTTGCTTTCGCGGTGGGCCTTTCACCTTGCAGAATGCAAAAAGAAAACAGTTCGGAGTTCAGGGGGGGCGATGTTGCTGCGCCTAATCCCGATCGAGCGATTTGCCCGCGTCATTTTCAAACCCGGCAAAAAACGTAGAACGTGACGTCGCCACACGCCAATCGGCCCCGCCCTTGCCCAACGACGTCACGTTGTAAGTTTTTTTGCCGGATTTGAAAATGACGCGGGCACATCGCTCGATCGGGATTGGGCACGGCAACATCGCCCCTAAATAAGAAACAATTATTTTTTCATTTCACAAGGTTAAGGGCCCACTTGTCTTCTTTTCCGCAGGGGTTTTGCAGGGCGCCCCGAGCGAGATAGCGCAGCCCTCGGGGAACCGGGCCAACCTGCTGGAGTCGATCCGCCAGGCCGGTGGCAAGACGTCCCTGCGCAAGGTGAAGGAGCGCAAGTTCGAGAAGAAGAAGCAGAAAGAACAGTCAGGTACGACCAGTGGCTCCTCCGCTGCTACACAAAATAAGTTCGAGAATGCATCCATATTTTCTTGGTTCTTTCGGTAAAGTCACGTAGAAGGGAAGTAATAATATTATGTTTTATTTTTATTATTTTATTACTTCCCTTCTACGTGACTTTACCGAAAGAACCAAGAAGATGAATCCCTGCAGTCACGAAAGCTTTAAATCGAAATTTAATGCATCCATACATACGTAGTGGGTTCGAATTAGGTGCACACACACACACACACAGCTTGGAGGCAACACTATTTATTAAACGGTAAGTAATATAACACTAATCTTAGGTTTTTTTCGGTAAAGTCACGTAGGTAAAAAATTTAAATTGATTAAAGTACAGCTATCGTGCTGTGACGGTTCCACCTGAAGACGGACGCTTGTGTTGCCTCCGAAACGTCGTGATTATTTTTTTATTTTATTTTTTATTTTACTTTTATTAATTTTAATTTTTTACCTACGTGACTTTACCGGAAAAAAACCTAAGAATATGAATCCTTGCAGTCACGAAAGCTTCAAATCTAGAATTAATATAACACTGTACATGAGGTGGTGACCACCTTCCTCAACTCACTAATCACTCTGGAACACGACACAGACTGGACCAGGCAGGCTGCGGCCTGCCTGGCCCAGGACGACAACCCGGGACTTGACGACCGATGATGTCGTCTTCACTTCGGAGTACAGTACAACAGCCTCGCTCTGCGTTCACACCACGCTTATATCCGCTACGGCGTGGCCGGCTCTGCCCAGGCCACGCCTCCCTTCCCCCACCTCACGGGAAGGTCTGGGTCCCTCCACCACGTGACCCCCCAGGCACCCCCTTGTGGCCCCCAGCCCTCGTACGGGCTGACACAGTAGTGACGTCATATGTCACTACACATACGTAGTGAGTTCGAATTTAGGCACACACAACTTCTTGGGAGGCAACACTTATTTCTTACTGGACACAACAGTTATCTCTTACATTCCACAAAGGGTGGTGACCACCGCCCTACTCCGGCTAACACACACACACTCCTCTCTCAGATACTCTAGCGGGACCCAGCCAGGTGGGCTACTGGCAGGTCCGCTGACTGGAGGCCTTGACTCTTCTTGGCGTCTTCACGATGCGTCTTCATTCTTGGCACGGGCAGCCCCGAACCTCGTGAGGAGGCTGCTGATATGGGCCTCGGCGTGCCCCGGGCCCCACCCCGGCCACGCCTCCCTTCTAGAACCCTCTCGAAGCTCCCCCCCCCCCCCTGCTGTCCACGTGCCTCCCGATGCCCCCCTGGGCCCCCGGCCCCCACTGGGATCCGGTCACGTGTCCAGCCGGGATCACAGAGAGTGCCACGACCTCACAGCACCTCCCGAGTCCAGAATCGGCCCTGACGTCATTCCCGCCTCCAGCCGGGATGACGTCATGTGTGTGTGTAGACCTCCCCCGCACGGTGACGTGACACATGTGCGTGCGTACACGGTAGTGATGCTACACATACGTACACGATGCCACCATTCTTATTTCACCAGGTAAGGCCCACTCAGAGCTACGTAGCGCTTTGTCAGAATCGACTCGGCCACAAACGACGACTCGACGAAGTGAAGTGGCTTATCAAGTGGAAATGTATCACCACCGCCGTCGTCATCATCATCACGATCCACGGGCAGATAGCCCGTAGGCGTCCGCTGCGCATTTCGTCATTTATTTCCACTTTCCCGTGTCGTGTGCGAACTTGCTCAAGCAGTGGGCCAACATCTTCCTGGCACCGATACTTTAACGGTGCTCGGATGGGCCACCAGCCATGCGTAACAGGTGTCAGAGGCTGCTGTGATGGAGCTATGTTTGGGGCGGTTGTTGAATTGCACTCCTTTGCACTATGGCGTCCGCCTTCGCCAACCCTCGCTGACCAACGTGGTGAAGTGCGGTCAGTGAACTCCTAGCAGCGAATTGGCGAGAGGTCCCGTGCACGTGTTCAATGTGAACGATGGTAGCGCGGCTTTAACGGTAATAGCGCGCGGCTGGAGAGCGATGTGATTAGAGTGCGTAACTCACTGCTGAGAGGTTTCGAGTTTAAAATCCCGGTTTGGGGTATTGACTGGGTCCGGTGTCGCTCGAGGGATAGATTCAATGAATTCCGCTTTGTGGGGGAGTCAATAGCGGCCGTGGTGCCATCACGGAGATCAGCCAACGCCGTTAAGAATCTGGGACGTTTCTGACACTGGCTGCGGGTAGAGCCGTCCGTAGGTGGGGAGGGAGTGGTGGGTTGTGGATCCCGAGACGAATCGCACACGGTGTAACCCGCCCCCCCGATTGCTTTCAAGCTAAACCACAAGTATTACATCTGACACGGTGACGTCAAGCCGCGGCGGGGGGGGGGGGGGTCGCCAAAGTGCGGGGCCCGGGGCAGTCGCCCTGGGGGGGGCTGTGGCTGGGGGTCACGAATAGCAACAATAGTTTGCCCACACCGATTTGAGCTGTCCCAGACGATTTGACTTAATGCAGAATAATATTCAGAAACGGACAAATAACAGGCACCGCTGCTGGTTTTCAGTTACACGTACATGTTTCATCGAGGGAATGTGGAGGAATATGATTATAATAATAATAAACGTATTTACCCAGGAAAACCACACCGAGTCCGAAGACTGATTTCAAGGAGGGTCCTGCTACATTGTGATGGTTGCGTGGTTGCGTGACACCAATCCCGTCGCATGTTACTCGCTATGGGAGGAAACCGGAGAACCGGGGAGGGAGCTTGGAGACGCCGGAGGAAACCCGGACAGAGCAGGGGAAGAACATACAAACCTCCACACAGAGAGGGGCGCTCCAGGCGGGGAACCGAACCCAGGCCCCAAGCTGCCTTCGAGGCACGGGCACTACCGCTGCGCCACTTTCCGCCGCTCGAATGAGAACCACTTTGGCTCACGGACCGGCGCATCTCCGCTAACCGTGCGTACGTATGTACGTACGCACACACGTACGTAGCCAACCGTGCTTATCGGTGGTGCGTGGGAAGGGCATGGGCCTCACCGGGGTTGACTCGGCCCCTAACCATTAACCGACGTGTCCCCATCGCCGCCTGAGTGGACTTCCTCTCGCTCTTACCTCGGCTGTATGTATCGACGTTGAATTTTTTCACACCGCACGGGGTAAGGGCAACAAACTGAACACAAAAGGAGGTCCCAGAGAAACGAGTTGACCGCGCGGGCAGCAACGGCGGCAACGGCCGTCGACACGCCCCGCCCTGTTGCCTCTCTCCCGTCCACCATCGCTATCCGTTCTCTCTCTCTCGCTCCTTCCTTCCTTCGTGAGCGATTACACCCCTCAGTTGTTAGGACGTGTGCTGTCGAAGCTGGGGGGTTGTGGGAGGATGGGGGGGCGGGCAGGATAGAGAAGCGGATGATGCCCCCGGAGAGGGGGGTGGTGGGGGAAGTGGGGGGGTAGGTGGGTCGATCGATGTCTTGAAAAGGTCGTGTGCGTTGAAGACGAATAATGCAACGGTATCGATCCGAGACGGTGCCATTTGCTCCCCGCTTGCTAATTGAAGCCGCTGCGATGTGTGCAAGACGCTTAACCATCGCGAGCCAGGGCCGCGAGGACGGGCGGACAGCGTCTCAACGCTGTGTGCATCAATTAGAGAGAGAGAGAGGGACGTGGAACGACGCAGTGCCCCGATCCACACATAGGAAGGAGACGTCACGGCGATGATGCACTACTCCTCCGCTGTCTCCTGACGCGGTTACCTGGGCTTGGCCACCTGAATGTGAAATTGTCGTCGTTTGCTCGGCGTGTATACATCAACCCAGCTTATAGATACGCTCCAAGCTTGGCAGTGTCTCATTCTTCACCTGAAGACGGCTGCTTGCGTTGTAGCCGAAACGTCGTGAGAATTATTTTATTATGTTTTATTTTTATTATTTTATTACTTCCCTTCTACGTGACTTTACCGAAAGAACCAAGAAGGTGTATACGTCAGCCGTACGAAAGAAGACGAACGGAGAGAGGGAGAGAGTCGTTAAGTTTGGTCCGCGTGTTCAGGCTCACGTGGTTGTGATGTCTACATCTCCCCCGTGCTATCCACCGAACACTTCTCTTCAAGGTCTTCCATCACGGGTGTCCATCATTGCCGCCAACCCATTGCTGCAGTATCACCTAGAATGTGTATTCATAATCAACGTTTTTTTTTACGAATAATATTGGTCGCGAAAGCCTACGTGTCAAACTAGAATGTGTATGCTGAACTTCTTTCGCACTCTACGTAACCATCCGGACGTGTGTTGGGGGGGGGGCGAAGCACAGAAAACTAAACACAAAGAGCACTTGTAAATAAATGAGTTTTAAAATTCCGATGATTTCAAAGTGCATAACTCCAGTGGCTTGCTAATATCGGAAGGAAGAGCGTTCCAGACGGCCGTAGAAGCGCACCTGTATGCATGTTGAACTTCTTTCGCACCGTACGTAGCCAGCCGTGCCAATCGTAGGTGCGCAATGCGCCCGATTTTGTCAGAGCTCGGAGGCCAAGCTAAGCAGGCTTGAGCCTGGATTGCCCTTGGATGGGCGACCACCATTCACGGCTTGCGAGAGAGGGGCTGCCGGGACTCGGTGGTGGGTATCAGCGGGGCACACGCAACAAATCCATAGTTGCCCTGTACTTCTATGCTCCCGCGTCTACTCTCCCCAAACCTCCCCCACCTTCGCCAACCTTCAGTTTAACACCTACTGTAGTAGGTTTTCACAACCAATATCATCTGTAATGTAGTTTTTGTTTGGGTAATATGTGTCGTTAAACCCGCCACCACCCGATAGCCAATCAGTAGGGTTGTGTTATGTAAACAGAATGTGGCCGTATCCTTTGGGTCTTTGGGTAAAGTCACGTAGAATGGTTAAAAGAACAGAACAAAAACTACGAAGTTGCGATCGAAACGTCGTAGTTTCTGTTTTTTTCTTTGAACCTATCTACGTGACTTTACCGAAAGACCAAAAGGATATGAATTCCTGCAGTCACGAAAGCTTTAAGTCAAGAACGCGGCCAATTCGTTACAGTGTAATGGGTTCTGGAGACACTTGTAGAGGTAACTTCTTTATTACAATACAACACTCCAACAGTCCTGATACTCTGTTACAGCCTAGGTACACAGCCTAGGTACACAGCCTAGGTACACAGCCTAGATACGCTCTGGGGTCCTCCGGCTACAATTACCCTAGGGGAGGCTACCTGACCCGTCCCAGCCAAGGTGCGGGTCTGGACTCTGGCTTCCTCGGAACTCGCCCTTACAAGGACGTAGAGCCGGGAGTCCCAGAGTCCCACCACTGGCCCTCACAGCGTCCCGGCCCTTACAAGGACAAGCGGGACGAGGGAGTCCAGGGTCCTAAGCTGGCTGGCTGGCGGGTCTTGGGTCTTGAGCTGCGACTGGCCCCGATCGGCCAGGGAGCTGCCCTTTTATACCTCGTCCCCAACGAGGGGTGGGGTTGTGTGCACCCCCAGATATCCCACAGAGCACACACAGCCCCCCCGTTGGTGGCGCCAAGGGGCTTAACTGTCTGGGTTGTCTGGGATCTCAGCGCTTGGCGCCGAGGGCTTATCTGTCTAGGGTCCCAGAGCCCCCAGCAGCCCCTCTCCTCTTATGGCACTACACTAGTACAGCACACCGGCAATCCAGGCTCAGCCCTTACTGGCAAGCCTGTCGAGGTTGACTCACCCCCACGACCCGCACGGCGTGGGCACAGAGGCCGTCATCTGGCGGTGGATTTGCAAAAGGGCCGCGAAAACGTCCACGCACGCACAGAGCGCGTAATGAGTTTTTTGTACGACTATGAAATAATTTTTATAAGCGTTGCTGCGGTGATATCACTGGTCAACACACTTTTTCTGGCATAAGGTATTCCAACGGTTTTAAGGTAATTTTGGGGTGCTGATTCCAAATCTGGCATCAGTTTTTTTTGTCTATCACATCAGGTTTTTGAGATATTTAAATATTGCATTTTCAATAAAAACTGCAGAAGAAAAATATTGAATTAATGTGGATGTCTACATAAAATTATATTATAAACGCACTATCCTAAACATACAGCACCATATTTTAACACTAAATCAGTCACTGACTCGCAACAACTTGCAATCATAAATGACAGAGTGAATTTCGGGTAAAATCAATGAAAATGGGGTATGCCGATAGCATAAGAATGAGATGTGATAGAGCAAATCTGAGATCAGATTTGGAATCGGCACCCTGAAATTAGTCTAAAACAGCTGCAAAAGTCGAGGCCAGAAAAAAATGTTTTTTGTTGTTGTTGTTGAGCAGTGTATTCGGTTATTGAATTCAAGCGTCGCTTCATTCACGACGCGTTGATCGACGGCGCAGGCGGGGCTTGGCACGCTCCCTCAACGCCAGCATTTGACGCGAATCAAATTACGTGCCAGTTTTATTTCACACTTTTATTTTGCATTCCAGAAAACACGCGGTATGCCCCCCCCTGTCGGTTTCTCCCCGGCACGACAGATGGCTCCTGGTCCCGTCTTGTTAAGAGATTTTCCTAATTTGCGCGCTGTCTGTCCTAGAGACACAGGTGGGGGCCGGGTCAGGTATAATTAGCAGAGATGGCACGTTGGAAAAGAATAATAGTACATCCGAGCCAACGCTGACGGGGGGAACGCACCTCTGGTGTATGGAGCGTCTGAACGCGAGGCTGCTGCAAAGATATCGTTTGTTTGGGCACGTGTGTGTGTGATGGGCAACAGCAGTGAGGGAAAAAAATATTTGATCCCCTGCTGATTTTGTACGTTTGGCCACTGACAAAGAAATTATCAGTCTATAATTTTAATGGTAGGTTTATTTGAACAGTGAGAGACAGAATAACAACAACAAAAATCCAGAAAAACGCATGTCAAAAATTGTATAAATTGATTTGCATTTTAAAGAGGGAAATAAGTATTTGACCCCCTCTCAATCAGAAAGATTTCTGGCTCCCAGATGTCTTTTATACAGGCAACGAGCTGAGATTAGGAGCAGGGGATCAAATACTTATTCCCTCACTGTAAAGTGGCGTTGTGCGGGAAAGAGAAGAAAGACATGGCAGAGAAATGGCTTGTGCCAGAAAGATGTGTCACCACCTGAGCATATTGGCGCAAGACGGAGGAAAGTGGAAACAAAAGATGAAATTTTATATTATTAACATTCCTTCCCTTTATTAATTCTAACCTTACTCCCTCCCTTTGATACTGCTAATCCTGCATAATGCACGGGCATAATGACTTTATACCCCTCGCCAAACCTCCTACGCACTTCACAAGTAGTACTAATCGCATATCTGCATTTACCATAAATATGCTAAATTCCTATTGATATGGAAATTATTTTGTCAAGACGCTCTTCACCCCTCCATCCCAGCTTAAATAGTCGCTCCAAGCCTGGGGCGTGCCATTCAGACTGTCTTCTCGACAGACCTGTTCTCCACCTGAGGACGGCTGCTTGCGTTGTGGCCGAAACGTCGTGAGAATGATTTTATTATATTTTATTTTATTACTTTATTATTTTCCTTCTACGTGACTTTACCGAAAGAACCAAGAAGATAAATGATGAAATGTGCAGTGGGACACCTCCTGGCTATCTGCCCGTGGATCGTGATGATGATGATGATGCAGATTGTCTATCCGGGAGAGATTCGTCAAGTCTCAAGGCTCTTTTTGTTTGTTTGTTACGAAGGTTCCTTCAATTCTAGATTTGAAGTTTTTGTGACTGCAAGGATCCATACTGTTTGGTTCTTTCGGTAAAGTCACGTAGGTGAAAAAAAAAAAGAAAATATTTTTTTAAAATAAAAGATAAGAATAAAAATAAAGAATAAAAATAGAAAAAACTTAATTAAATCACGACGTTTCGGGCGCAACACAAGCGTCCGTCATCAGGTGAGGACAAAATGTAGTTATTTCTATTTTTTTTTTTCATTTTATTTATTTATTTTCACCTACGTGACTTTACCAAAAGAACAAAACAGTATGGCTCCTTCAATGCCACTGCTGGCCCTTCTACCAGCGGTGGCTCGAGCAAGCCATTGCAGGGCTGCACCTCTAACTCCTGCCTCTTCACCTCCATTGCCATGCTTGTGGGTGGCCACTGCCCCACCGCTCCACCCCTCTCTTATTTCTGCACCACGAGAGTGTCCGCTGCTACTTTTATCGCAACGTAGCAAAACATTTTCATCGAACCTTGAATCTAATAGCAACCCTGAATCGGGACAACTCGTCGAAACGCCCGGGAGAGACCGGGAATGAATCGCTCATCTTTGCCATCGTCATCATCATCATTGTCATCATCATAATCATCGTCGTCGGCCACGAGCTAGCTACTGCCGAATGAAGCCACCTGTCAAGCCACCGGCCGTCTCCCGCGATCCGGCAACGTGACAATCCACCCAGGACCTTCACGCGAGCTGCTTCCATCTCTCCCATCCCCTTCCTCGGCGCGGACTTCCTGTACGATTTTCTTGCCAGGCCATTACGGATAAGGTGCGAAGAGCCACGCAGCGTTTTGCCTCTTTACTGTTGGCTCATCTTACTCGTGGTGTCATGCCCCCCGCAGTCCCTCTCTCTGGCCGCCGCAGCTCAGGCCAGCGAACATCAATCTCGGCAGCCCGGGGCGGGCCCAGGCAACAAGACGAACGGGGAGGGCCCTTTGCTCGGACTGTCGGCAAAGCGTTGACGAGGAGCACATCCCGGTCGTCGGCGTTCACTGAGCGAGATTTGCGAGTTTCACCCCGAGGGTGTCGCGGAGGAGACATACGAACAGTGGCCCTCGACCGATTTTAAACGTCGTCACCAACGGCTCGCGACGGCGCGTTGACACTGGCGAAGGGCGCGGCGGCGGCGTCGTTGTCGTCGAGCTCGTGCGGAAGCGCGCCACCTGCGCTCGATCGCGTTGGATCGTGGCGCTGAACGCGCCCGAAGCGAGAGAGAGAGAGCGAGATAGAGCTCAAGAGAGAGAGAGCGTGCGAGAGAGAGCGAGATAGTGAGATAGAGAGTGAGAGAGCGAGAGCGCAAGAGAGAGAGTGAGAGAGAGAGGGCGAGATAGCGAGAAAGAGCAAGAGGGCTAGAAAGAGAGAGAGGTTTGTCACGAAGCCGGGCCGCTGCTGCCGCTTGGTGGAGGTTTCTGGGTACTGCATGCGTGGCGGGCACCGTCGCCAAAATGAGGGTAGTGGGCCGTGACGGCCACCTGCAAGCATCTCTCACTGTCTCTCTGTCTGTCTCGTATCTCTTACTGGCTCTCTCTCTCTTTCTCTCTGTCTGTCTCTCTCGCTGGCTCTCTCGCTGTATGTCTCGTATCTCTCACTGGCTCTCTGTCTCTCTGTTATTTGGCAGTCACCTTATTCCAGTGGTGACCACTGCACAGGGCTCATCGGTTTTTGTGTGTGTATGTCTGTCATAGGTGCTCGCTAGCAGCCCCGATAATCTGTTAATGTGACACGGGGGATCTTTTGTCTTTGTCTGTGTGTCCATCGGGTCTGTGCGGAACAAGTCCTGGGCCTCCCCTAGGTCGACTCTGGTGCGATGTGTAAACATCGCCACTCGGGAAGCAAAGGAGGTCACGAGTGTTGCTGGCCACCAACCCCCTTCGTGTGCCGTGCCGGCCTTCATAGCTGCTCGCTGACAGCGCTTGCCCCAGCAGTCTGTTAAAAGCTCTGCGGGGGGATGTTTGTGTGTGTCCATGTGTGCATATGCCTGCCGTGTGCAGCGTCTGGCGTGGCGGCGGGAGGTGACCTGATGTCCGACCTCTTTAACAAGCTCCAATTGCGTCGTAAAGGTGAGCGAGCGAGCGAGCGATGCGAGAGCTACCCTCCCCCTCTCCCGACCAATCAGCCGGCAAGCGGCTCACCGTGGCACTGGAGAAGAGCGTGATTGGGTGGCTCAGAGGGCAGAGTCCTGGGGTCAAATCCGTGCTTCTTCAGCCCACTGCACGTACTTCGACGGGGTTCTCAAGCGCCGCGAGTGAGTTGGCGATCGACCGGGACCGGTCACACCAACGCGTGCGCAAAAAAAATCCGTCGCGCCAAATTTGATGCCGAGCTCAAATGGGATCGAGTCCAGGTCTCGCCCTCACCCCCGATGAGCACGTTTGGCTACGTACGGAGCGAAAAAAGTTCAACAACCCAGCTTAAATATACGCTTCCAAGCCTGGTGGTGTTTCATTCAGATGCTGTCTTTCCGTCCAGACCTGTTCTTCACCTGCGGACGGCTGCTTGCGTTGTGGCCGACACGTCGTGAGAATTATTTTATGTTTATTTTATTTATTTTATTATTTCCCTTTCTACGTGACTTTCAGAGGTGTGGACTCGAGTCATGTGACTTGGACTCGAGTCAGACTCGAGTCATGAATTTGATGACTTCAGACTCGACTTGGACTTGCATAACAATGACTTTGTCCCACCTCTGAGGTGTGGACTCGAGTCATGTGACTTGGACTCGAGTCAGACTCGAGTCATGAATTTGATGACTTCAGACTCGACTTGGACTTGCATAACAATGACTTTGTCCCACCTCTGAGGTGTGGACTCGAGTCATGTGACTTGGACTCGAGTCAGACTCGAGTCATGAATTTGATGACTTCAGACTCGACTTGGACTTGCATAACAATGACTTTGTCCCACCTCTGGTGACTTTACCGAAAGAACCACGAAGAAAAAAGTTCAACAATTAAGACTATCAATGTTGGTTGTATCGTGCGGGTGGGAAAGTACCTCCACCCCCCCCTGCCCCTTTGTCGACCAGAGGTCAAGTTGAAAGGGGTTTCAGAGGCAGCTCTGTGGTATCCGCTTCCGTGCACCGTTCTCGTGCCGTGCAGTGATGCCCATAGCGCAATCGGGAATTAATTTGGGGGAAATGACACGGATATTTTAAAATGCCATTTTGGAGTGAACCGCTGAGGTTCCCTCACCCAACATGTTGTGGTGCTAGGGATGGATCGTAATTATACGAGACGAGAGGGGAGACGTAGGAGAGTGCGAGGAAGGGATTAGAGCGAGGTGAGAGGGGAGAGTTAAGTCGGGGCGATTCTGGAGGGGATACTGAGAACGGTGAGTGGTGCCATCTTGAACTTAATCCCAGATTGGGTTGGGAGCCAGTGGAGGGATTTGAGTTTCGGTGTGATGTGTGATCTCATAGTGGTCATCTGTGGAAAAAAAAAGCTTCATAGCTCATCAGATGCCTCCAGTCGAAGTCAAGATTCTGATTCTGATACCGCGCTGAACGCGCGCAATTGCCGAAAGATGCAGCCGCGACAAACTCTCACGATAATTGTTTTTTTTACCCTTCTATCTGGCAACAAAACTGACACCTTTTTTTACAAGGAGTCATGTTTACATAGACCACAATACCTGCAGTCATAATGCAAACAAAAAACACAACTCTGATAATGTATGCACTGTCCTTGAAGTTGATTGGTCCACACCCGAGACAGCTTTCCTTAGAGCCTAGTCTCGCATGGGTTGGACCAGATGACGCCAAAAGGCGCACAACTCAAAGACAATGCACCATCAGAGTATGAGAGCTCGGGGTAAGCATTTACACCATTGGAACCTCATTTGCCAGTAAAAAAATATGATAATTGTTTTTTTACCCTTCTATCTGGCAACAAAACTGACACCTTTTTTACAAGGAGTCATGTTTACATAGACCACAATACCTGCAGTCATAATGCAAACAAAAAACACAACTCTGATAATGTATGCACTGTCCTTGAAGTTGATTGGTCCACACCCGAGACAGCTTTCCTTAGAGCCTAGTCTCGCATGGGTTGGACCAGATGACGCCAAAAGGCGCACAACTCAAAGACAATGCACCATCAGAGTATGAGAGCTCGGGGTAAGCATTTACACCATTGGAACCTCATTTGCCAGTAAAAAATATGATAATTGCTTTTTTACCCTTCTATCTGGCAACAAAACTGACACCTTTTTACAAGGAGTCATGTTACATAGACCAAATACCTGCAGTCATAATGCAAACAAAAAACACAACTCTGATAATGTATGCACTGTCCTTGAAGTTGATTGGTCCACACCCGAGACAGCTTTCCTTAGAGCCTAGTCTCACATGGTGTTGGACCAGATGACGATTGCAAACGTCCCAACGTGTGCCCCCCATTCACCCTTTCCCGTTCCGAGAAGTCTGCAAGTCGTCGCAGGGTGTCGGTGTCGCCGTTCGCCTCCTGAACCTCGGCACGAGCGAGCCGCATGGTGTTAATTTTATTTTGAGAGGCGTAGTGGCGGCGCCGTCGTTTCCGAAGACATTGTTATTCACCGCAGAGAACTCTAGCGACACGACCGCAGCGACGACAGCCGGCGCCAAACTGTGCCACGTGTCCTCCTCACGTATGGCCCATGAAGCTCTTCTTCACAGAGGTCCAGATCAGCTCAAACCTGACCCTGCGCGGAAGTCGTAATAAAAAATTCAGAACACGAACGCCAACGCGAAGAAAAAAAAAACACGGCCACGCTAAGGAAAAAGAACACATTACCGTAATGGGATTTCTCAAAATTTGCCGTGCATGACTCAATTTAGAAACACGGAGATGATCGTTATTTGTTTTAAAACCCAATTCCCCGGTGACTACGCGCGCGCCATTACAATCGCGGCTGCCACCCTGTGTAACGATGCCGAAGTGTTAACCACCTCGCCTGGTGTACAGGAGGCCATGGGTTCGATCCCGACCCCGACGCCTGCTGTACATTGGTGTTGGCATGTTCTCCCTGTGGTCGCGTGGATTTTTCTCCGGGTCCTCTGGTTTTTTTCCTCCGCATTTTGAAACATGCCTTAGAGCAGGGGTCCCCAACCCCCGGTTGTTAGGAACCGGGCCGCACAACAGTAGGGGAGCGGTGAGTCCGTGCGTGGCCCGCCCCCATTATTTTATTATTTACCACTTCCGTCCGCGCTTCTTCCCGCACTGCGCACTTGTCACAGTCCAGTCACAGTGTTGGTAATGCCACAAGCTGTGAGCCCTAGCCAAAATGAGTAAAAAACAAACGTCGCTGTGACCCAATGATGACCCCCCCCACCTCCCGGTCCGTGAAAAAATTGTCTTCCACGAAACCGGTCTCTGGTGCCAAAAAGGTTGGGGACCACTGGCTTAGAGTATGTCTTTGTGAAAATGGGCCTCCCCTAGGTCGACTCCCGCTCAAATGAGCACCTGGTGCGGCGTGTAGTAAACATCGCCACTTGGGGAGGCAAAGGCTGCCGGACGTGGTGCTGGCCACCCACCCCGTCTTGTGCCATCGCAGCCTTCAGAGGCGTTCACAAACAGCCCGATAAAGCTTGTCAGGAGCTACATGGGGGGGGGGGATCTTTTTCACTTTGCGTGTGAAAATGAACGCACTTGTTAGATTGACTCCCCCCCTGCACTTTCACGCGCGATATTGGGAAGCCACCGAGAGCGCTGTGCGCTTTTCAAATCGAGATTGAAAACTCATTTCTTACCAACTGCTCTTTGTGTTAGTTTGTTGTCCTTCCCCCGCACCTTGGATTAGCACGGCTGGCTACGTACCGCGCCAAAGAACTTCTACGTACGTACGCACGCCGCCTCTTCCAGTGCGTATTTTGTCGTTGGGATCCATGCGCTTGAGGTGCGAGCGGTCGGGAATGAGCGAACCAATCCGCCGGCATGGGGGCACCCAGAGCCCAGAGCAATCCCATCTAAATAACCTCCTCCTCCTCCTCCTCGTTTTGTAAAATCCAATTGAATCTCGCATTATAATTTTATCGTCGGCACTCCGCCACGCCGTTACGGACTAATCCGCGCGCTTACATAACGGCCACTCGGCACGCTCCGTCGCCTCCGCTCGCCGCTTTCTTATTCCCCGGCGGTGACGGCGGTGACGGCGGTGACGGTGGTGACGGCAAAAACTTTCCAGCGCGCTCGCTCACACCTCATGTTTTATTCACGAGCCCCGGTCACCCACAATTCCCCACCCACCGAACCACCCACCGAACCACCCATCCACCACCCACCGAACCACCCACCCACCACCCACCGAACCACCCACCGAACCACCCATCCACCACCCACCGAACCACCCACCCACCACCCACCCACCACACCACCCACCACCCACCGAACCACCCCCCACCACCCACCGAACCACCCACCCACCACCGAACCACCCACCCACCACCCACCGAACCACCCGCCCACCACCCCCCGAACCACCCACCCACCGAACCACCCCACCCACCACCCACCGAACCACCCCGCCCACCACCCACCGAATCACCACCCACCACCCACAGAACCACCCGCCCACCACCCACCGAATCACCCACCCACCACCCACCGAACCACCCACCCACCACCCACCGAACCACCCACCCACCACCCACCGACCCACCCACCACCCCACCGACCCACCCCCCCACCACCGAACCACCACCCACCACCGAACCACCCCCCACCACCCACCGAACCACCCGCCCACCACCCACCGAACCACCCACCCACCACCCACCGAACCACCCGCCCACCACCACCGATTCACCCACCCACCACCCACCGAACCAACCCGCCCACCACCCACCGAATCACCCACCCCACCCACCCACCGAACCACCCACCCACCACCCACCGAACCCCCCAGCCACCACCGAACCACCCACACACCACCCACCGAACCACCACCCACCCCCCACCGAATCACCCACCCACCACCCACCGAACCACCCGCCCACCACCGAATCACCCACCCACCACCCACCGAACCACCCGCCCACCACCCACCGAACCACCCGCCCACCACCCACCGAACCACCCACCCACCACCGAATCACCCACCCACCACCCACCGAACCACCCACCCACCACCGAATCACCCACCCACACCCACCGAACCACCCGCCCACCACCCACCGAACCACCCGCCCACCACCCACCGAACCACCCACCACCCACCGAACCACCCACCCACCACCGAATCACCCACCCACCACCCACCGAACCACCCGCCCACCACCCACCGAACCACCCACCCACCACTCGCCGAACCACCCGCCCACCACCCACCGAATCACCCACCCACCACCCACCGAACCACCCACCCACCACCCACGGAACCACCCACCCACCACTCGCCGAACCACCCACCCACCACTCGCCGAACCACCCACCCACCACTCGCCGAACCACCCACCCACCACCCACAGAACCACCCACCGAACCACCCACCCACCGAACCACCCACCCCCCCACTTTTGCGCCAGTCCTTGTGGAGGGCGAAGCGCCTTTTCGCGCGGCAGATTGGGAACGGGACGTGGCGGTGATGCGGCTGTCTCCGTTTCGGTTTTCGGGTGGGTTGGGGGGGGTGGACGTGCGACGCCGTCGTAATTGCAACGCCGTCGTGAAGCGCTTTGAAATTGCGCGCCATGTAAGCCCGCAAACCCGCGCGGTTTACCGCGAGGGTACACCGGATGACTTGAGGTTGTTCCTCCCGGGGGCAGCGTAGCGCAGTGTAGTGCAGCGTAGTGCAGCGTAGTGCAGCGTAGTGCAGCGTAGTGCAGTGTCCGGTGCGAGGCCTGCGTCATGCTAGCCGCTCTGTTTGTCGTCCCCTTTCCTACGCACCCTCCTCCCGTGATCCCCACTGATCTTCCCTGCTGCCCCCCCCACCCACCCCTCCCCGTCTTCTGCCCCAACTCCTCTCATTTGTCGCGCTCTTACGATCCCCTTGACCACCGAGTGCACCGTGGTCGTTCGCCTGCGACGCTCTCGACCCTCTCCCCGTCTGCCCCGCACCACTTCTACCCGTGCCGATCTTCGTCTAAACAGCCTACTTGCTGGGCTGTGCAGCGACACCCATTGTTATACCGTACCTCGACGGCCACCGTGACTACGAGCAGCGGATCGTCACCGGGCCGCGACACGCCGTTGTTCGAGCGAGCGGGGCGGAGGAGCAGGCTCCGTCGGCCCCCTGAACTCACGTGCCCCTCTGCCCCCGTGCCCTCTCCCCCCGGGCCCCTCCCCCCATGCCCCTCCCCCCCGTGACCCCTCCCCCCCGTGCCCTCTCCCCCCGTGCCCTCTCCCCCCGTGCCCTCCCCCCGTGCAGGCATCTCGGGCTCCAAGGCGAGTGGCGGGGATGCCTCGACGGCCGCGGGGTCGTCGTCGTCGTCGTCCGGGGCATTTGCCCGCATGGCCGACGCCATCCCGCCCCCTCCGGCCGTCGCGGGGGGGAGCGGCAGTCCCGGAGGCGGCGGTGGCGGCGAGGAGGACTGGGCTGACTGAGACTGCACCCCCCTGCACCACCCACACCCCCCCCCCCCCACACCGGGATCTTACCGGGTGATGGGCGGCACGCCGGATAATCCCGCCACCTTCGCACCCCCCCACGTTGCCGCGGCGTATCCAATCGAACGGGAGGAGGAGGGGGGGGCGGCGAAAGCTTTGTCGGCTCGCGACGGCCAAACATTAAAAGTGGAGGAGCACTTTCCGCGCGCAGGTGGGCCCCCGAGCGGGAAATCCGCCGGGCTGCTCATTGATTTCCGATGCCTGTGAGGGCGCCGCTTAGTTTCGGGGGTGGGGGGGGGGGGTGTGATATGCACCTCTGCCGCTCGTCTCCGCGCGAGGCTTTTGAAGCTGCTGTTCTCGCCCCCCGGTGTCGCGGAGAACGATTGGATGCTGTGGTGCGCAGAGTTCCTGCGGACGGCGTAGATCCCGCAGCCGTGCTTCCTGCGCAGTCCTTACGTTTAAAGCACCCAATTGGCACTGCCCGCCTCGACAAAGCCGCGTTCGTGCCGACATCATCATCGGCATCATCGACATATTCTTGGGTTTTTTCGGTTAAGTCACGTAGGTAAAAATTTAAAATCAAAATTAATAAAAGTAAAATAAAATAAAAATCACGACGTTTCGGAGGCAACACAAGCTTCCGTCTTCAGGTGGAAGCTTGTGTTGCCTCCGAAACGTGATTTTTATTTTATTTTACTTTTATTAATTTTAATTTTTACCTACGTGACTTTACCGAAAAAACCTAAGAATATGAATCCTTGCAGTCACGAAAGCTTCAAATCAAGCATCATCAACGTCATCGTCGTCATCATCACTGTGAGCCAATGTATATCCACTGCTAGATGAAGGCCACTCTTCTCGACCATGCCCACAGCTTCATCAGTAGGTCGATGCGATATCTCTTGATTTGCGTTCGATACCTGATCCGTGTTTCTTTTTTCTCATTTTCGCCACCCGGCATAAATGCGGGCGACCGTCTCCCGCGATTTGCGCATGATTTAGCTCGTGTTCCATCCATCTCTCTTGTCATCGTCGGTGTTTCTTGATCTACGCCATGGCTGAAAATGTGGACTGATTTAAACGGTGGATTCTCGAGGAAGATTCATGATCCTTTTCATTACCTAATTCAGTTTGCCTATTGCACTGCAGCCGACTTTTAGTCGCTGGGTTATTTGATAATCTGGTTCTGATCCGCCTTCAACTAATTGCCCTAAGGATTCAAATGTCGCCTCCGATGAGGCGGGGCCGGGCGACTCGGAGCTCGGACCAACTCATCTGGCACAGCTGCGATCCTGGCTTCGAATCCAGGGTTCACCACTGGTTGATCGTCTTAGCCCATTCACCAATGACTGCAGAACGCAAAGAAAAACCCCAACACATTAAATTTTGATTTAAAGCTTTCGTGACTGCAGGGATTCATCTTTTTGGTTCTTTCGGTAAAGTCACGTAGAATTGAAATAATAAAAAAAAAATGTATCAAACTTAATTTGGAGCTTTCGTGACTGCAGGAATTATTCTTTGGTTATTTCGGTAAAGTTACGTATAAAGATTAATTTAATTTATTATTTATCTTTATACTTGACTTTACCGAAAGAACCAAAGAAAAAAATGTATTTTATTATTTCCATTCTACGTGACTTTACCGAAAGAACCAAGAAGACATTACATTTTTGTTCTGCATTTAATTGGTCTGCATTTCCAGCTCTTAAGAATTAAATACATAATACATCGGTTTTGTTGCGATGCGACCGACCGCACTTTCTGTTGCAGGGCGGCGGGAAAGTACTGCCCCCTGATGGGATGTCAGGAGTTGTTCCCGGATAGAACCGCCGAAAGCACAATCGGGATAAAATTGGGATGAAGTACAAAAAATATAAATCATTACGCGGGTGCTCGGTAAATTTTCCTTTGCAAATTTATTCGCGAACGCACACGCCTCGATCAGCACCGTTGGTTACGTGCGACACTCAAGAAGTCCAACGTGCATACGTAACGTGTTGTGTTTTGTTCTTCATATGCAAATATACCGGTCAACGCGGCCCGAGCAAGCTGCCATACAGGGGCTACGGCTGTCACTCGTCCGCGCATTCACACACGGACACACACAAAGACAAAGATCTCCTGTATAGCCTTAACAGACTGTTGGGGCAAGTGCTGTTAGCGAGCACCTATGAAGGCCGGCACGGCACACGAGGGGGTGGGTGGCCAACACAACGCCTGACCGTCCTTTGTCTCCCTGGCGGCGATGTTAACACACCGCACCAGATACTCATTTGAGGCCGAGTCGACCTAGGGGAGACCTAGGACCGGTTCAGATAATCGCCACGGGTGTTGGCCGTGAGCGGGAATCGAACTCGTGCCGCCGGGTTCGTAGCTTAGCGCTAACTGCAACACTGCCGATGATTGGCACACGCACGCGCACCCACTCACAAGTGCGCGGACGGCGAGTTTCACCAGCGATCGTTACCAGCGATCGTCACCAGCACCATGATGTACTCGAACGCGATCGCAGCCGCCCAATCGCCACGTTCGGACCTTCGCTGTAATTATCGAGCAATAAACGCACGTTGTGACCAACTTAATGCGCGTTAACGATTTGGAACGCCGCGCGCGTTACACGGTTTGTAAATCGTTGCTTTTATTCGTTTACGAAGGGAGGAGTGCCCCGAATTGCGGGCGCGTTCGTGCGCGAACGCCCTTTGCGATTGCCGCAACGTAAACCATCCCTGTTAGAGGTGTTGCAAGGCCTCTTACGTGCAAGTTAGAAATTAGCGGAATAAAAGCGTTACCGGAGGGACCGACCGCTCGTAGTCCATTCGACGTACGCCGACCTTGCCTGGAACTTTACCCCGCTTTTGCTTGGCCGTGCGTTTGCCGAGGACCACCGGGGGTGGGTTTGCGTGGCTCAAGCTTGAAATGCCAACCGCAGTGAATGGGGTTCGCATCTTCCACGTCAACTCGAAATTGAAGGGTTGACTTGCAATGGGGGGGGGGGGGGAGGGTGGCGTAACTTTGCAGGTAACGGATTTTCACTGTGACGTAGCCAAAATTGTGGGAGCCTTGTTAATCCAATGTCACGTTTCGATTGCGGGCATCCTTGAAAATCTCCAGACGCAAACTTTCGTAGACCTCAATTCAAAAGCGATTTTTTTTCTATCCCCACCCGTGGCTTTTAAATTAATAATACATTCCGATGTCATCCTTTGTATCCAGCACCCTTGAACATCTAAAAATTATCAAAAATAATGAAAATGTTAAGGTTGTAAGTTTTCTTTTTACACGAAATATGTTATTGAGATTTTTCGGGGGGGGGGGCGGAGGGGGGGAGTAAAACCAAACCGTTTTACTTTTTAAATCCTTTATATTAAGTTCACTTGCTTGCTTGCTTGCGCGCTTACGACCGTGCAAATCTTTCGGTCGTTTTTTAACCCACTTCCCGTGATCCAATCGAGCTGACATTTTTGCACACAGACTCGTTGTGCGTGACAATTTATTTTCGTGAAAAAAAGATTTCCAAAATTTTCCACTTTTTAGGAATTTTTTTTCATATTTAATTTAAAATACCAATGTGATAAAAATGAAACTCTTACTCAAGAAAAACAGAAATGAATAATAAAATAAAACCGATGCCACGCATATAAAGGATTTATAGTGAAAAACTTTGTTTTTACGGGTTAATTTTTTGTATTTGAAAACTTGATGTCATATATTGATTCAAACCCTTCAAGACCTTCATATTAAAAACGTCTCCATGCCACGATTCTAACTCAAGTCCCCAGTCGACAATTCAGTTTTTAATTTGTCAGGCGCATGAACGTAGACCCGACTGCATTCACACACAGCTTCACTTCTCCATGCCTTACAGACAGACCAATATTAAACTCAACTAAAACTATGTTTAAAACTATGTTCTAATAATTGTGTTTTTTTACTCTTCTATCTGGCAACAAAACTTAACACCTTTTTTCACAAGGAGTCATGTTTGCATAGACCACAATACCTGCAGCCATAATGCAAACAAAAAACATAACTCTGATAATGTATGCACTGTCCTTGAAGTTGATTGGTCCACACCCGAGACAGCTTTCCTTAGAGCCTAGTCTCACATGGGTTGGACCAGATAACGCTTTTTGGCTGCAGGTATTGTGGTCTATGCAAACATGACTCCTTGTAAAAAAAAGGTGTCAGTTTTGTTGCCAGATAGAAGGGTATAAAAACAATTATATATTTTTACTGGCAAATGAGATTCCAATGGTGTAAACTATGTTCTATTTTACCAGTTAAGCCCCCCCCCTCCACACGAGCTACGTGGTTTTTTTTCAGAAGCGACCTGGCCGTCGCAAATGAGAACTCCACCAAGTGGCTTATCGCGTGGGAAATCACCGCAGACAAATACAACTCAACGCGTGTAGATTCTCAACGTGGAGGGAGGGGAAAAAAAAACTCGGAGGATCCGGAGAAACGTCCACACGACCCCGGAGACAACACAACCAACTCCAAATATACAGCAGCAGCAGGCGTCAGGGTGGAGATCGAACCCACGACCTCCTGTAGACCAGGCGAGGGAGTTAACAGCTCACCACATCAGTCAGGCACCATCCACTATGTATCGGGAGGAGGTGGGTGGGAGTTACGTTCGAGCTTAACACACGATGTGCCACAATTCTAAACCCAGGACTGCTTCCGCAGCGCATTGACGTAAATAAAAAAACAATCTACGGCATTGCAGGCAGACTGGTAAGCAGCAGAATTAACCCGACTTCTACCAACACCCCGTGTAGCACATTGTCCTGCGGAGGGAGCTGGTAGGAACGTTGGGTTGCTGGGTCAATGGCCAGGGTCAACGGCGGCGTGGTGTATTCCGCAAATATGCCCGACTGTGAGGGCGGGCACAAGCCGGCGTGAGTAGGTTAAACGTTGAGTTTTATAAGGGCACCACGGGGTGACCAGCCCCTCTCCACCCAGCCCCACCCAGCCCCTCCCAACCCAGCCCCTCCCCACCCAGCCCCCTCCCCACCCAGCCCCTCCCCAACCTCCCCACCCAGCCCCTCCCCACCCTCCCCACCCAGGCCCCTCCCCACTCAGCCCCTTCCCACCCAGCCCCTCCCTCCCCACCCAGCCCCTCCCTGCACGACGGACACA